AACGTGACCAATGCAGAAATTGTTGAGCATATTTGTATTCTTTGAGATAGGTTGTTGGACTGAATTACTTTCGATATGGACTGAGCATCCTTCAGACTTCATCACCACGCACAATGTTTAATTTAATGGATCAACCAGTCACTCGGGAAGCAGTAGACTTCAGTTGAGTTGGCATTAGACCTCACTAGTAGTGCGTACTCTCCGAACCACCCGGGCTTTGAATTTCGGACACAAGGCATGAAAGGCGTGTGTGTTATCACTGGATCAACTAGCCCACACCGAGGCTGAACACAGTGGTCACTCTGTACTTCATTCGAAAGCCTTCCAACAAATCAGGACTTTCATGAAGGCTCAGACAATCTGGCTACAAACATACGGGGCGAGAGTTAAATTCGCATTCAATTGTGTGGTGTGCTGGATGAACTGAGAGTTATGCTTAAAGAAGAAATCTCAAGAATGATCAACTTATTCCACATCACTACTTACAAGTAGAATGCAGGTCCCATTTCCAAACCTCTCGGTCCATAAGCATACACAATCATAATGAATGGGGTGGAGATGCAGATCAGCTAAATCTATTCTGGTCCTCTCTCTGTAGGGCTTTTACGGGATGGAATTAGCATGATGTGTCATTTCGCATTCTATGGCATTTATGATAGTTTCATAGACGGAACCCATGGCATATAGAGCAAACGAAGCGTGAAGTGAACAGCTATTTCGACCTGGTTCTCATGAATTAGTCAGTTCGTGAAAGTCTCCAACCGGTTTATAACCCTGAAGGTTAGTGCTGAGATGAGCGAGGCGCGAGGCCCGCAACAAGCTCGCAAATATGGGTTATGCTATATAGTGTAAATGGAAAATGAAAAAGGATCGGATCAACTGCCCGGTGGCCGAGTGGGTAGCATGCTTGCGTTCTACCTGTGAGATCCCAGTTCGATCTCCGCTTGGGTCAATGGATTCGCACTGCTGCTGAGACCCAACCAGGTCGAAACAGCTGTAAGGTACTTCCTAGCTTTCCAGTTCACACCTCGTTTGTTCTATACACGAAGAATTTTCCCTGCGAAATTGAATCAACTCCTCTATTACTCTCATGCATTTAGGATAATCCCGTTTAAGCTCTATGCTTTCAATGAACTACCTCCAAGTTCGCATTTTAGAACACAACGCAACAGAGAATCTTTTTGCATGTCTTGGCCATGCATCAATCAACATCACCCTCACCATCATCACCATCATAATCATTATTCTTAGCAGGGATGGTAGCATGATCATCAATCATGAATTGCAGTTTCACTCGCTACTCACAGCTGAGGGCAAAACGCATACACGTTTAAGACTTAGATGGTTGATGACGGGACGGGCAGAAAGTGAATCTCTATGTTTGACAGAGGATATATAGTCCCGTGCGTCTTCCAACATCCAAGTTTGATAGGAAATTTCAAATCGAATTCCACTGTTATAAGTCTGATGCCACGTCCTTCAGTTTTTCCAACCAAAGTCAATTCTAAAGATAGCTTCTACATAGCCCTACAACCGTCGTGATATTTCCTCTTCCTGCACTTGCAAAATGAGCACGAATATATAGAAGATAAATTCCAGGAACAACAAGCAAAGTAATAATAAGCCCATGACAACTAATCAAGTAACTCAATTTTCAACCCAACTCTCTCCTATCAAAGCTTGTTTTAAAAAATATTTGTCTATTTATTACCCCCAATCATATCTCGTTGAATATGGGATTCTTTGATAATTATTCGTTGTGAGAACTCCAAAGCCATGAGGGATTCCGAAGCGGAATTCATAAAATTGCTACCCAGCATTCTCGATCTCAAAATGAGTGAAATCTGCTTTCTTGTGCCAAATAAAAGTGAATCAGCTTAAATCTAGCGCTATTTCTGATGCACCCAAAATCGAGATGAGAACATTATCTGTCATTTAAAGAGAATGCTGCACAAAAACAAGTCATTTTGAACGCTTAAATCCTGTAATGGTGAGGATGATGCAACACACATGTTGGGTAAGAGGAAATCCCAGCAAACTAACTGGTCCACGTTAGAACGCGCAAGATGATCACGTGAACTGGATCACTGAACGATCAATGAGTGCGATTTCGATCTGGTCATCCATGATAAGTACGTGTGTGTGTGTAGGTGTGCAAAGAAGAGCGCAAGTTAGGCACACTACTGCCTGTGCTTTATTGGAAATGACAATTTCTGACTTATAAGTGTGGCCACGGCAAAATGATATGATTGACCAAAGAGAATCGTAATCTGTTTATGGGAACATTCTGACAAACACTTCACACAGAAGAGAGAATCACAAAAAAGTTCACATCCTTTATGCATCAAAGCTTAGATAAAGTACTAGGCATAGTGATAGTAATCACTACATGCGTCTTGCTTTGTTTATCTTTAGTCATTACAATAATTAATTCAATTCTAGTATGACTGGTTGTTTACTCATCCCCAATTATCTGCTTTAACGTAGTTCCCTTAGGAATGATCATAATATTCACCAAGAGTCGACATCACTTTACATTAAGAGATCGTTAAGATGAAGTGGTCCGTTGACCGCATAAAATGCTGTAAGTCCCAAGTGGATGTTTGTGCATGTTTTTGCATAGTTGAATCTGAAGTTTATGTCCGCATTATGTTTAGCAGAATGAGAAATCGCTAGAGCAAATACTCTCCTAACGATTCCCGCTCTTGATGATCATCATTGAGGCCTTTTCCCACATTGTACAAAATTGAAATGTAATTTTAAATTTTTATTATTTTACGTGGTTAAATCGGAAACACTTTGATAGTTTTACAGAACAGACTAATTGTAGGTACAATTGAAAAGGACACTCACTTGTTTATCCCGTTTATTCATGATGGAATATTTTTCTTTCACTTCGCTGTGGTCATGCGCGATAACACTTGTGATTTACCAGAATTTTATTAATTTTTGGACAAGATTGTGTTCCATAAAAAGGTGACATCTTTTGCCCACAATGTTTATCATTTAAAATTTACGTACATAAACTAATCTTCCCATCACTGATTCACACTGTCCACCTGTCTATCAGCAACAAATGACGCGTGTTTGGTATTTGATTCTCGACTGGTTGTTGACATCAATTTTCACACCAACGATCCGGCTATTCGGGCTGCTGGTCCGGTGACTAAGTTGCAACGGATCTACTACAATGATATGTGGCGGCATGAATTAGGAAACAGTCGCGAGGTTGGTCAAAATGTAAGTGACCTTGAAATTCCATCCCGGTTCGGTTTTTCTGTGCCCAAGCGTCTGCTATCACGTGGCACATTTTTTGCTGCCGAGAGCCATATGCAATTGGCAGACAAATGTGTGACTAGTTTGGCCAAGCCAATCGGCCCGTGTTTTCGTATCGGTTTATTTTTGTAGTAGTACGGGACTCGCAATAAGAATAAACTGACAGTAGCAAATGATATAGAGAACATAGAGAATGTATTATAGACAAACAATATTATAGTGAAGAGCTGAATAAATTCCGCATATTACTGGTTGTGAAACACTTTTATAAAGGAAAAAAATTGGAAATCTGTGAAAATCTAAACCGTGTATTCATGAAAATAATTTCCGTCTCCAGGAGTTAAATGGTTTCGCTCAGCGATGAAAGACAATAGGAGAAATCTACACATTTACCCAGAAAGATTTATGGATATTCAGAGTAGACCATTCGCAAAATGGTAACCCAACCAAAAACGTTAGCAGAAAGGCGATCTACATGAATGTTGCATTCAAAAGTGACCAGTTGGTGTTTAGGAATGCATTCAACAAGAACTCGCTACCACATCAAATCCAGCTCCATAGGCTCCGTTGGTTAGGTCACGATTCGTGTGTGTACGACGGTCGCCTACAGCAGCGTGCCTAAATCGCCGTGGCTGTTGCAGGCTGGAGAAAGCCATTTGGATGGAGTGGATGAAGTTGAAGCCAGACTAAATGAACGGTTGGTATTGATGAAACTGTCACTTTTTATCAGACCAGAATGCCTGAAGTAGTATACATGCGCAGTTGGACTGTGTATTGTGTTTTGTCCATAGAGGTTCGTCTTCTTTTCCCGTCTCTAAAATAAGTCCAATTCCTATCCTTCTTAAACATTCTCACTTATCTTGTATGCATTATGAGTTTGGCAGCGACTAATGAAGTTTGCTTTACTGTATTACGCTGTACAATGATGATGAAGATGAAAGGTGACCATACTTAGAATGATGTGTGCCATACGTTGAGTTTTACTCTAGACCGCAGATTCCCAGCTGCGCAAGTCAGACTCATTGCCTCCAAATGTGGGATTGATGTGAACAAACGTAAACATGGCTGTCAAACCCGTTCCGTCTAACACACTGTCTACCAGTTCACCTGCAGTTGCGGTGATGCATACATAGGCAGAACCAACTGTCAGCTCTCACAACGGATGGTCGAACATATTCCGAAGTGGTTGATGAAATTGATGATGCAACCGATATTTGATGGTCAATTGATCACAAGAAACCAAGGGTCCTCTGCTGCAAAACATGTCATGACAACACAGTTGACCGCAATTCGTATTTTAGACTATTGCATAATCGCAATGCCAAACTTTTGGCAAATAATGAAGCAATGCTTATTCGATTAAATCACTCGACCATGTGACCATAAATGTTTTTGATAATAGTAGTCCACTTACCGTGGAGTTTACCTTCTACTTCTATGTTTACTTATCTCTATATGCTTGTACAGGTTTGTTCAGCATAAATGACAAACCCCATGTGCTATACGTGTGCCGGTTTGTTTCAAATCAGCGATGGAGAAGAATAAACGAAATGTTAACATCTGGCGACATGTACCTTCTTTCAGTCTTGATGAAATGGATAAAGGGGACTCAGTGCTTCCGAAATCTAAACACTCATCTAAACCGTATATTACTGTATGCCTAAACAGGCCTTTGGTGAAGCCAGAAGGAACCAATTATGCGATGTAGTTAATTCGTTTTGATTCTCTGATATAAATTCATAGTTTGGGGCTCTGGACTATTCCCATGGTTTTATCGAATATCCACATTGCACCATATACGTCATCAATTGGTTTATGTAGTACCTTATAAAACACAGCTGAAAATCTTAATGAAAAAGACTATTTTAGATTGTATTAATTGATTTCCAGTGTGTTAACATGACGCGCAATATTTTTACAGACTGGCAGGTTTAAAATTGTTGACTTATAGCCCACATCGCTCGCTGAGCCACAATATATTACCGCAAGATTTTCACACAACCGAGTCCCACTGACATAGCCGCCGTAGACAGCAAATCTTTTCCATCCCCACGTGATCTTCCTGTGCGCTGTTACGACTGCGCAGGGCTTGTTAAAAGCAGTGGGGCTGTCATGTTTACCAAGTCTCAAAGAAGAATGGACCGTGGTGAAATAAATAAATATAATTACTGTTTGCCAAACACCCTCCACGTATTCCTCGCCAGTATGAACTTCAGACGCTCCAACTGCCAATATGCCACTTGGTGTCTATCCTCCTCGAGTCAGCAACAAACGCAGATCGACCACATCGCTATAAGCCACAAATAACGGGGTTGCATACAAGACTGCCGATCTTATTGGAGCACTCTCCTCGAATCCGACCGCGCGTTAGTTTGCCCCACGCTGTCTCACTCAGCTTATCTAACTGTCTTCCAAACCGCACTAACTGAAAAGCTAGAATCAACCCACGAGATGACATTTAATAGCACTGGTCGCTTATCAAGAATGCTCCGCATTCTGCTGGCTTAATTAATTGTGGGCTGACACGTCGTGCCGCGGCACCCTGGATTTCTGCAGAGTCTCTACGCCTTCTCGACGCACTCCGATCAATCCCGACCGGCAGCTAACATAATGAAATACGACTTGTAACGAGTCGTAACTTAAACACAAGGCTGGGTTTCGCGCCGGTCGTGCATGCTTCGATCGAATCTTCACCCTCCAATAACCTCCAAGGCACCGTTTTGTCTATCAAAGACAAACGATCATTTTATTCTTAGACATCCACGCGGTCTTCAACTCTGTCAATAGGACCGCACAATGAAACTGTTTTTTGAGAAATGGATTACCTGAGAAGTATATATTGATCTTCAAAGAGTTGTATCTTTATATCTCGGGTCGAGTTAGAGCGTATGGCCAGCTTTCAACAGCCTTTGCCGTCTCCAGTGGAGTTCAACAAGGTTACCCTATATCCACATTTCTCTTCAAGTTTCCCATAGAGGATGTTCTGCAGGACGCTTTATCCGGTTTAGCAAACGGTGGAGTCAGACTTATCCCAGAATAAGCCTATGACACCGCCATATTGGGTGGCAATGCACAGACAGTCCAACAAGCTTTAAACAACTTGGCAATAGAGGTATCCAGATATGGCATGTGATTTGCAACATCAGAGTGCAAAGTGCTTGTTCAAGACTGGCAGGAGCCCGTATCTGCACTTACTCTTTCTGGCGATCAGATAGAAATGGTCGAGAGCTTCAAATAGCTCGGAAGCTCAATCACAGCTGGAGGTGAGGTTGGGGAATAGATCACATCACGAATGGGAAATGCTAGGGCATTTTCCGCCAAACTGCGAACCTGTGGCGCCGCGATGATATCTGACTGTCCCTTAAGGGTAGTGTGTACATCGCCGCTGTTCACAGTATTCTACTTTATGATTGCGAGACCTGAGCTCTCCGTGTTGAGGAAGCTAATCGACTTTCCGTATTCGACCACTGATACAGCGGAAGAAATGCTCGTGTCTGGTGGGAACAACGGGTGAGGTTCATCGTCATGTGTTGGGTGTGAACAATCGCTCTCTAAACGACAGTAATCGCCCTACATCGCCTCCAATGTCTTGGTCAATTATTACGTATGCCTGCCCACCAACTACCTTTCCGTGATTCAGCCGTTAGCACCGGATCTAAATCCCGGTGGGAATTCGTCTATAAACTAATGCCTAACGAGCAGCTTGATCTTGAAATTACAGTGGGAGACTAGGCTTTATGGCCTCTCTATTTGCGGTTAAAGGGAGTATAATCAAAGGAATCAAACCATTACGAAGCGCAACAGCCGAAGCAACTGCAGTCCACTTCGACACCTCACACATTGAAAAAGACGTTCCTAAACACCGGTCCAACCATGAGGATCCACTTGTAATTTGGTGACGTAACGTCCCTTTATTCAGTCATCCACTTAACTATTATCTACCGCCTGCAACCACTCACCTCGCATACACATGCAGGCACAAACGCCGTACGTCGCACATATCACAGTCATATCATCTCGTTCTAAACGCTTCACTTAATTACAGTGATCTTTTTTCTCACCAAGCTCACACTGCTTACACGTTCCAACAAGGGTGCATGTTTGTGTCGGTGCGTTCTCTGAGCTCGAACTGTTGTTCATGAATGTTTCAAATACAGGCTAGGGAACATCGTTAGCGTAACGGCAGGAAAGCATTGCTCCTCGGTTTGACTGGGCTTATATAATTCTGTTCGAGGATTTTAATTGGCCTTTGGATTCGTGTCGATGCTATTGGTCCATTGCGAAAAATTGCTGCGATTTTGTGGGCTCATTGGTTGTCAAAGTCATCCCTGTTTTGTTCACTGCTCGATTTGCTTCCGTAGACCAACCAACCGGGCAAACGGCGAACTGGTGCTTCCCAAAGTTGCAGTTATAATGTTGCCCAGCCTAGCTACAAGACGTTTGTGAACAACACCTCCAGCTCGAGGAACACACCAAAATCCTCATCCCGAGCTACAATCTTTCCACATTCCAGGGGTGAAACCGCTCTCTCTTGCGCCCCTTCGTGCTTCATGGTTTAAAATCTCTTCAATGTCCAAGTCTTAAGATCAATAAGCTATAACTAGTACGACAGTTTGTAAGATCTGTCTTTATGATTAGTAGTCGTCATTTGTAAAATTTACGTTTACTATTTAGAGGTATTCCAATTTCAATCCTAAACCGAATGGCGTCAATAATAATATTCTCCCTACTCACTTTCAGCTCGGTCAACAATTATTGGACCTGTTCAATCCATTCAAAAACACTCCAGCTGACCCGATTCGAGATGGCTGCCATTTATTGCCTGTATTTGAGCATCCGAAGATTGTCAGTTGCGAATTACCCGGTGGTTATTATTACCTATCGGTAACCAAACCTGATTTGTATGCACCGTTGGAGAAGCGAATGCAGTCGGAAGACTTTGTAAGTATGGCCACTAAAACAAACGTGAAACATAGCAGTGTGTGGGCGTGTGAATGAGGTGTGCTTCATTGCTTATAGGCAAAATGAAAAACTGTCTGGTCAGCTACTCGATGGTCAAATGAGTAGTCGCTTGCGTTCTGTCTCTGAGGTACGGGTTTCGATCCCCGGTTAGTTCAGTGGAGTTGCACTGCTAATGATACCTAACCAGTTTCAGGGAGCGCTCCAGTGGCCAAAGCTTTGGCCATTAACAACCACTCTGACGGAATGGAGATCCAGAGCGTTTGGACTAACTTAACTGCATTAACGGGTAATCCCGACAAAGGTCACAATTCCTCTTGACCCCATCTGATAATGTGAGTTAGTATGATACACAACGATTCATTCAGTCCACCAAAACAATTCAAACACACATGACAAAAATTTAGTTGACCTAAAATCCTTTCTTCTGAATCATTTGATTGTAAAAACGACCTTAAGAAAGGTTACCCGCGGTAACCGAAACCTCCGCGAATACAATCCTCTACCGACATAGCTTTGCTATTAATATCACAACATTCACATTGTTGCGCTTCAGTACTTCATAGCTTTTCAGTTCACACTTCATTTGCTCTGTGCTGAATGAAACTAATTATTTAATCAATTAATTATTCGTAATCTGATAACAACGAAAGGCCTCGACCTGTTGTCTGAGAACGAGAATTGATGAAGTGAGGTTCACGTTTCACGTGAGGTTTTGTGAACCGTAGCGTTGCGAGACTGATTGTATTTTCTGACGTCATCAGATTGCGACAGCGGCCAAGATAGAAGTCACTTTCCAGTTCAACTTGAGGCCAAGGCAGCTGTGGTGCTTTGTCCAATCTTTTTGTGTACCCTGTGACGGGTTCAATAAACCAGTTGATAAAACATTCCGCTACGGCAAAATGGCTTTGTCGTATGAGCTTCTACCTACTTCGAGGTACTCGATAAGAGACGTTCAAATTATCGGCGCTAACTTGATTCCCCGTTTGGGCCAGGTGATCTAAGATTGCATTTTTCAATATTTACATACATCTAATCATCAGCGAGGTCCATCGCCTTTGTTGCTAAACTCCTGGGAATTTAGCTGCCTACATCGCCTTTGAAAGCAGCCGCAAGATCAACTGTTGTCATTTAGCGTATCCCACCGTGACGGTCTTTGTATAAGGCTCTTAATAAACCTTTTCGGGTTTTAGTTGCTCGTTGGAACATGTCTAGCACGCTCCGAATGCTAAACGTTGTACGATATTCGTCTTATACTTGATAGGCATTGCGCAGGAGTAGATATTGACCGTTTCAGATTGGTCTGAGGGGGATAGAAGAGTGAGTTTTTCCATCTCCGCCAGCGTTGCATCAATTCTCCACTGTGGATGTAAATGTTGACACGATAGGCTTGGTTGGAAGTATTACGGAATCAGAAACACCTTGGTTGATTTCGGTTAATTTGTTGGCAACATACAGACACTACGGCGAACGTTGTTGCCTGAAAACTCGTTCATGATGCCACTGCTGACTGCAGCCTTTGTATGGCCGCGGCCGCCTTCCTTAATGGTGACTGTACATTTGCATGCACAATAACTAAGTCGATACAATAACAGAAAACACATAATGATTCTCAATAGAAGCAATACAAACTGGTCGCTAGAAGTGTGTGGACTGAATGAGAACTGAAACAAACGCATAAAACCCGACCCATGTCTGCGTAAATTTTTGTTCGTTATTTATGCTCGACAATCCATCTTACGTAATGTTTTTCATAAGAAACTTCGCGACCGTGTTTAGTGCTGTATTACACAAAAAAAATTATCGAAAACAAGTGACATTTGTGAAGTAAGATAGGGTTCAGTACCCCTTTGCAAAACCATAAAGGTTGCTCTTTCATGTGATGGATTCAACCATTGTCATAAAACTGCATATTTCTTCGACTAATATGGAATACGTAAATGGAATATTTGAAAATTCTGAGGGTTTTATCTTGGTGAAGATGCCAAAAATAAGTAAACAGGATCGACATGAAGAGTAAGTCATTGCTCCAGCTCCTGAGTTATCATATTCAATCATACCACACAGAGTCTCTCACATGGACAAGAGTGATCACACTTAGCACTGGATATACACTTTTTTGTGTTCTACACGCCACACTGGACTAACTTGAAATTCACTTGATGTACGATTTCTGAGAAAGAACCCGCATTCTGTGCACTGTATAATTTTGGCCCTTAAGTTTGAAAACCAAACCAATCCCATGCACAATACAAGTTACACCTTAAATCGTCCTTGCTCATGGAGTGATCTACAAATTGTCTATCCGTTAGATTTGCTCATAATAAATTTATCCTGTTTGTGTTTACTAGAGAGTCTGAATACACAGGCCATACAAGTATTCTTGAGTGCAAGTAGAAAACGGAATGTATTCTTCTTCGGAGAGACGTTCTGAATTGATAGAATTTTTGATTTCACCCTAGTTGTTTTCTACCTGGGCAATCATATATAATTATTGGATGGAATTCTTATCAACTAGTTTATCTACACACAAATTGTGCATTGATTTGATATCATGGGATAGTTGTGGTATCCAGGAGTATGGAAATCTGAAGAGGGTTAGGCAAATTTATTATTAGACTCACAAAAATTGTTCTTATCCGCAATTTTTCGTGAGCACCAGTCACCCGGTTTTTTTTGTTTGTTTCTATCTAGTTTTATCATGGCAAAATTTAGTTTCCTGTCCAGTTCACCCTCAGGTATGAGGGTATAAAAACCTTAGCCAAGAGACTCGATCATACAGGTCACGTTAGGCTCCAAACCCAACCACTTAGCAAACCTGTATCGCTTTGTCTGCCGTGCCCTATCCCAGCTCGAGTCTTTGCAGACCATCATTCCATGTAAACGTTGACAATAACTCAACAATACTCTGACTAGTTCACATTCTGAGAATAGAGGTATTACATATATTGCAAGCATACGACGTATATAAAGTGGCAATGGATGACAAGGAAGTTAGTTGCAGTTCGAATGTGACCGAGCACTGACGTATGCTAGTCTTACCCAAGTTATGCAGGTACTTTGAGGTGATCTGATTGCACATGGTAAACAAAACAGAAAAAAACTGCAATGGCCTATAATCATGCATCATTTAGTTTGTACGTTTGCAAAGCAATAATTGAAGGTCAGAACATCCATACCCACGATAAAAGGAGTGTCTGTGTTCATCACATCTACCCACACAACTGGATTACGTAATCTAACTGTCAATGATCACAGTTAACACCTTCGTATTACGGTAATAATAGTAATGAGGATTATGTAACAGTGGTTCCAAAGACCATTTCAGATCAACTGTGTGTATGGTTGTTGTCCAGCTTCTAACTGTTTAGTGCGATAGTTGTTCATCTGAAGTCCTGGTTAACTGGAGATTGAAAAAATAACCAAAGAATAACGTCATCAGTGCCTGTTGCCTGCAAAACACCGAGTGGGCTAATCCAATCATTCACCAGCTGAATGTCTGAGAATATTGAACTGGAAAGTTAAATGCCGTTATGGGTAGGTTACCAGTTGCACATTCTGGTCCATGTAAAGGACCTCCTAATAGACGCACAAAACCGTGGTGCGCTCTTCTGCCGTGACCACTCCCACACCCCAACCCCATCAAGTCAAAACATACATACATTGTTAATTGACGGGTGAAAACCATCTCCCGCTGATAGGCCATTCCCGATAGTTGACATACTTAGGACAAGAGTATAAATTTTCTCTCACTCCCCAACATTGCATTTTTATTTCACGTCTACACAATGTAAGCCCAGGGTAGTTTAGTGTGCCACGCCTGTTTTTCTATTAATGAAGTTGTTCAACACAGATTTCCACTACATCATCATCACCGTAATTCCCAACATGTTTCTTTCCCACTCATTGCATTACGACAACAGGGTCGTTTGATTAAAACGGGACAGGCCGATGAGGGGAACGGGTATTTCTGCCTGCACGTGAATAAATACAATCTTGTGCAATCGATTGTTTGTTTATCAAAGAAGGTAAGTCTCCCTGATTACTGAAAGATAGTACACTTCGCTCCACACCTTATACAGCTTCCAAACAGGAAAGTTATTTGCAACTCTAAGTCCTCGTTATCTATTGCATCAAGTCCGAATGCAGTCACATCACAAATGTGAGCATTCAGTCTTATTCTCCTCAGTCGATGGATTTAAACAAACATAAAGAAACAGTCTAATTCAATACATTGCTCGGCGATTGATTAATTGTAAGACAACTGTCACCCACCTCTGGGATAGAATGTTGGATTAACCTGTTTTCTCGTTTACTACAACATAGAATTCCCTATTTATTTGTTTTGTTGGTCGCACCTCGATTTATTTATCAACTGTACAAGTTCGTAAATTGTTGGAAATTCACCCTTTGGGTACATAAAGCATTTATTGACTTGATTAAAAAAACATACATTTGATCAGGTTAGCAAATCCTGGTGAATAGACGTTAAAAGATAGAAGGCAAACTAAAGTCAGTTTTACGGTAAGCGAACTGATTAAATCAATAATGCTGGGACCCATGGAATGGATTAATAATGCTTGGCTAGTTGCCAAAGGTTGCGTAATCAGTGTTTCAAAGAGGAAGCGGATGAATTAATTGTTGGGTTAGCCTGAAGTGTTTTGCGATAGCTGATCCCAGGATCATTTTAACCCCGAACTGTCGTCATTGGCTTCACCAAACCCGTTTGCTGTATGTTATGTCATCGGCTGTGATGGGTGGTGTGTACTATTACGTATGCCGCATCGCAACTGCAAGTAAATTGATGTAGCTTGCTGACAAAATATTGAAAATCCGTTCTCGTAGCTCGGGTGAACTGAATTCCATTTCGCCTAATCGCCGAGGTTGGCAATTTGTTTACAAACGTTTCATCACCAGCCGAGGTGACATCATCAGTGCTTGTGAAGTGGCAGTGTTCTGCCTGTGCCCGTTCGTTTATATACGCGTTCTTCTCCACCGACTATTTTCGTCCCCTGTTCTCACTGTGTTCGACTCGGTCC